GGGTAAAGAGAGAGAGAGAGAGAGAGAGAGAGAGAGAGAGAGAGAGAGAGAGAGAGAGAGATGGGTCATTTAGAAAACAGAAATGACCCTTCCCTTCCTGAATGTGTGAAGTTTCTGGTTGGATGCTGGAAGATGACAAAGTTCCTCAATGCCATTTCCATCTCTATGACTCTAAATATGTCAAGTTATTAACTCAGTGGTCAGAATAGAAGAAAAGATAGTAACTTGACCTGCTTCCATAGATCAGGAAGTTACATTAGCCTTAGAATGAAGAACATGGGGGAAACAGGACTTGAGCAAAGGTGCTACAAGAGAATGTAGAGCAGCCAGCTAGAGAGTGGTGTTCAGGTCATCCGATCCAGTAGCTGAAAGAGCAGTGTTGGGACTGTTGGGAAACTGAGGTTCTGGATCTGACCCTGCCAGTGAATGGCCGTGAAACCTTGGGCAAAGCATCTCCCACCTCAGGGGCTTGGTTTCTTCATCTATAAAACAAGAGATTTTTGTTTTGTTTTGTTTTAAGTTACCTCATATTTATGTAGATTTTCCCATGTGCCAGACACTGAGGTTAAGTGTTTCTTGAGGCTCTCATTTGATTCTTCAAAAGTCAGGGCCTTTGGGACTCTCAAGGAGCATGAGGAAAAGCAACATGTGGAGTGGCTCCTCCCTCTCCTCACTGGGTCCACACAGAAGCTCCCCCACCACTGCGTCTCCCTGCAGGTCAAGGGACTATGGAAAGGAACCTCCATGCAAAGATGGCAATTGTTTGGTGTGGAGAAAGGGGATTTGAGACATGACTTGGTCATTTTCTTGCTTCAGCCTGTGGAGATCTATTTCTGGGGCTGGGAGAGTTAAAAGGATTGTGAAATCTGAAAAGATTAGGGGAATATATGGCTTGGCCTGAGCTCCAAGCACCAAATGATGAATGGAATGGAATGCCCTGAGGTATGGAGCCAAGAAGGAACTAGACACAAGGATTGTGTTACCTCTTAGCCCAGGGCTTCAAGGGCAGGACTTACTTTTATGGGCCCATCCATCCAGAATGCTTTGGATCCAAGGTTCAAGGAGACATAGGAGAGCTTTTGAAGAACTCTGAAAACCCCCTCCAGCCCAGCCCGATGAGATAATGAGGAGGGGTTTTTTTAGGTGTTTTCTTTTTCTTTTTTCTTTTTGATGGGGGGAGGGAGTAACAATTTAACATCACCTTCACATTAAGAAAAGCTCTTGGTGGAAATTTGATTCGAGAAGGTATAAAATGTTAAATCAACCAAAGAGCTGTGGTGTACAAAACTTTGTCGCTAAATCTTTTAATCTGGCTTCTACATTGGTAGTTGGGGCAGGGACCTCACTGGTCTGGGAGTCAGGAAACCTGTTTAATCCTGGCTCTATCTACCTAGCTAACTGTAGCCTTTTTATTTTTAAAACACTGATAATAATCTCTGTTCTGCCTGTCCTACAAGATTGTTGTGAGAGTCAAATGAGCTAATGTGTGTTGGAAGTGTGTTATAAATGGTCAAATAGTTACCTGATATAAGTTATTATACATTAGAAAAACAGTTCATTTGTCAAAAATAAGCCTGTAGTTAAAACCAGTTGGAATTTTAGGGAAGGAATATAATTAAAATGTTCTCTCATAATTATGTATGTGGATAGAGATATAATAAGAAAGAGAAGAGAGAATCAAATAGTTGTATAACTGAATTACCTTTCTTTCCCTTAAAGATGAAGAATTAGACTCTAAGTTTACAACATCAAGAAAAGAAGGCATACGGGGTGACCGGTTAGCTCAGTTGGTTACAGCGTGGTGCTGATAACACCAAGGTCGCTGCCTCGATCCCCGCGTGGGCCACCGTGAGCTGCACCCTCCTTAAAAGAGTCAACTATGCCATTGTAGCATGAAAGCAATGTGTAACCAATGACCATGGCTGTTCCCCAATTTAAAAAAAAAGAAAGAAAAGAAAAGAAAGGAAAAAAAAAGAAAGAAAGAAAAGAAGGCATAGCAAAAATTATTTCCAGACCCCATGACCTGAGCTTTCTGAAAAAGGTTAAGTGAATTTACATGAAGCTTGAACCCAAGAAATTCATGCACAATTCAGAGAGCACAGGGCACCTTGCTGGTCAACCAACCTCATTCCAGGCTGTACAAAGAGCATAGAGACCAAAAGAAAAAGATGCCCAATATAAGATCATCTGGGCTTTTTGAGACTGAGACTATAGTAACATTTAACTATTTAGGGGTCCAAATCCATTCCAGGGAAATAAAAATTGGAAAAAAATGATATCATGTTTTTCTACCCTTGGAGAAGCTGAGAAATGAAAATTATTTCATGGTGGGGCAGTAGGCTTAGTAGGCTGAATAATGCAACCACCCCCCCACCAAAAAAAGTCCACATCCTAATCCACAAAACCTGGGACCATGTTACCTTACATGGCAAAAGGGACTTCACAATGTGATCAAATTAAGGGTCTTGAGATGGGAAATGATCCTGGGTTATCTGGGTGGGCCCAATGTAATCACAAGGGTCCTTATAAGGGAAAGAGGGGACAGGCGGGTCAGAGTCAGAAAATCAGAAAAGGAGATTTGGCGACAGAAGTGGGGGGGGGTGTAGAAAGAGAGATTGATTTGAAGATATCCTGCTAGCTTTGAAGATGGAAGAAGTGGCCATGAACCAAGGAAGGCAGGTGGCCTCTAGAAGTTGGAAAAGGTGAGGAAAAGTATTCTCCCTACAGTCTCCAGAAGGAACCCAGTACTGCCTGACCCCTTGTAGAGGTCTGATCTCCATACTGCCAGATTGTAAATTCATGTTGTTTTAATCCACTAAGTTTGTAGTAAACAACTAAAAACAAGATGCTAAAGATACTTTGTTAACATAAATCATTAGTTTCCTTTGATTCCATGGCTACTGCTGAGGTTGTGAATTTTATTCACTGGTTTTCAATCCGTGCTTTCCCTTTGCTTCCTTGTTATGAAGTCACACACACACATCCCACTTAAAACATAAAAAAAAGAAAAAGTTCCACAGTCGATCTGAGGCCCACTATGACTCCTTGCTTCTCCCTATTGACGCATCTTTACAGGAACCCCTAGTTTCCCTATAGACCCCTTTATTCCCTCCCCATCTCCTATTTCCTCCACTGCCAGAGGGCTTCTTGAACTTTGAGGCAGTCGATTTCCAGGCCTTAGGCTACTTTGAGGCAGAAGCCGTGAAGGAAAAACTGTAGGAATTATATAACACCTGTCAAGAACAGTCTCTGGTTCATTGTAGGGCCTGTGAGGTGGGCGAGATTGCAACGAAGACGTTGCTCACACAGCTGCAGTGTGCTTGTGTGCTGATTTACCCCAGCATGTGAGAGAAAGCTGGCGGCCTAGCAGGCTAACTCTGCTTAGCTCAATTCATGTGAACATGATGGGCCACTGTTTCAGTGCCTTGGTGATAGCAGGGAGAATGGCAGTAGTTCTTTGAAGGCCACAGAAGGAATATGAAGTACTATGCCCTGGCATTCAACAAGGAAGGCCCGAGCTCTCAGCCTCCTGCCTGGCCAGCAGACTGGTGGGCGGTAGGAGCCTGTGCTTCGCTGAGGCAGATCTGGCCCAGAGATCAGCTATGACAGACCACTGTGCCCTTTCCCTGCCGTGATAGAACCTCTGGGTAAGTCCACCCGAGATTAACATTACATAGTTCAAGTCACCATGAGGGCAGGATATCTGATCAGAATTTTCAAACAGAAAAGACTACCAGGAGGATACTTTAGAGTTCTGAGTTAATGTAGGCACAGCATGGAGGGTCCAAATGAGTTCAAGGGCACCCTGCTTTCTCTCCTCCTCCCCTCCCCCCAACACACAACATTATCACTGAAAAGTAAGTGTAGGAACTAGAGGTAAAAACGTCCCGCTTTCTCTTTGAGGGTTTTCCGGAGTTTCAAAGAGAAGGAGTTCACCCCATTGGACCACTCAGCCGTCCTCTCTCCTTCTTCTGTCCCAAATATCATTCCTTTACCTCGGGCTTTACGGAATATAACCTTACACATGGGAAGAACAGAAACACATACATGTTCAGATGTGAAGGCAATGAGCCTGGGAACGGCGGCCATTCCTTTCTCCTTGACTTCTGGAAACATCTTAAAGCGTGCAATCAGCATGGCGTACATGTTAGATATGGCGCCACCTAAAGTGCATAGTGACACACAGTTACCTTTTCCAGACATTATCAGCATAATTTCACATGCAAGCCACATTCCTATTGCCAGTGACCTAAGGTCCTCCTTGGACACAGGAGGAGACATTCTTATTGGCTGTTCTTTGCACTGAGCCCTCAGGCTCGGGCACTTAGCTAAGAGGGTCCAGGGAAAGGAGCATTGGGTCCATGGGACGGATGCTCCCCTTCCACCCTCATCTCTGTCACTAACATGAACTGTAATTGATTCTGCTTTTGCTGGGAGCTCTTTAAAGAGGCTTTTAAGGACTGAGAAATTATTGCCTTCCTTCCCAGCTTGCAAGTGTGGTCATTCTGCATAAAGCCTGGGAAAATCCTACTTATATTCTGTTGGAGAAGACTTTATTTATTTTCGTTTCAGCTCATGCAATGTGTTACACTTAAACTAAGACAAATCAGTTGCTGTTAATGATGTGAACTATAAATCAACAATTCTTACAGAATGAGGATAAACATCCAAGCCCATCTCATCATACTCATCTCTTAATTTGCCCCAAACCGTTTTTCCATCTTAAAGACATCATTGAAATAATTGTAATGGTTAACAAAATCTTATTTCATAATTATAGGAAAACAAGCAACTAAGGGAATTTTAAGTCCATATTGAATTGCTTTTCCTGCGTCATCTTAAGGTTGTCAAGGATTTCATACCATAAAATTTATATATTATAAGCAGAGTCTCATTTGACAAGCAAAGAAAAGTGAGTTTTTCTCCAGGATTGTTGGAAAGGTTGGGATTTTTTTTGCTATCCAGGAATAAGACTGATTGTTGTGTGTACAAATGAATATGCAAATGAATATGGAAGTTGCGAGATCATGAGGTAGAGTGAAAGTACTGTCTCCTCTTTCCACTCAAAGGGGACATGCCATCATGGGAGTGCTTGAGCTCCCTCCCCTCTGGGGACTGAGAAGCAAAAGGGCTCTCTACACCTAGTTGAACAGCCCACACAGGGCCATGATGGGTCCTGGGCTCCGATGCAAGCAGGCAGCCTGACACAGAGCCATCGTCACCCAGATCCTGGCTCTGTCATCAGTCAGAATGAGGGCGATTTCTAACTCTTCTGGACCCCAGAGATGTGCGACAAGCAGAATCCAGGTCAGACCCGCTCTGAGCAGATATCCTGTTCAAAAATCTGACTGTCTAAAAGCTTATGGTTTCTCAGTCCTGGCACTTAATGATATTTTGGACTGGATAATTCTTTGTTGGGGGACTGTCCGTGTATTGTAGAGTGTTCAGCAGCCTCTTTGGCCTCTACCCACCAGATGCCAGTAGCATTACACTCCCCATCCCCCATGTGACAACCAAAAATGCCTCCAGACATCGTCAAATGTCCCCTGGGGGGGGGGGAGGGCAAAATCAGGGGCAAAATTCTCCCGTTGAGAACTACTGCTCTCATTCTTCTTAGAGAAGCTGGAGAGAAAGGAAGGCAAAAGCAAAGGGAGAAGGTGTACACAAAGCGAGTGCATTTCACAGGACACGTATCCAAGAAGCTTCCAGCTCTGCCTTCCCACTCTTCACTTTGCACCTCAGTCTTTCTCTGTCTAAGGGTTCAGCAGCCCTTACAGCAGCGGTTCTCAACCTGTGGGTTGTGACCCCGTTGGGGGTCGAACGACCCTTTCACAGGGGTCGCCTAAGACCATCGGAAAACAAAAAGATATTTACATTATGATTCATAACAGTAGCAAAATTACAGTTCTAGAGTAGCAACGAAAATAATTTTATGGTTGGGGGTCACCACAACATGAGGAACTGTATTAAGGGGTCGCGACATTTGGAAGGTTGAGAACCGCTGCCTTAGAGGGATGAGAGGCCTCTGGAGTGCGAGGACTGCTTTGTGCAGCACAGGCAGGGGGACAGACGCATGAGGCCTGCATGCTCTTATTTCTCATGAATCTTCCACAGAAAGGATGCAAAAGCAAGCCCTGAATCATTCTGGAAATCCTGTTAGGAAAAGGTGTGTGACTAAGCCAAGCCTTTCCTCTTTTCCCTCCAGTCCTTCATGACTTGCTGAGCAATGGAGTGCTCAGCTCTGTGGCTTTCAGGTTAGGTGACATCACATAAACACATTTCTTCTAGAAGTCTCAAAGGACTTTCCATGAAGCACAAAACCTCTGGATGTCATAGATGGAGGCGTAAGGTAAACTGAGCTGAGCTATATATTCAAGCCACAGACCTATCTCTTCATGCTTAGTCCCAAGCAGTGGGACTTCCAGACCTCAGGCACGTAAGATGTGTGTTGTCCCCTATCCCCACCCTTAAAACATGAGACCCTTTACCCCAGGAATAAGGCTGGCTGCTACCTAGAAAGGCATCTATTAGCAAGTAAGGATGCTATGGTCCATCTCTTGTCTGTAATGCCTGTAGAGAGCAGGGAAGAAACAGGCTGCCAATGGCCTTTTCTTCCGTCCCCTCCCCACTTTGCAATGTCTACATTACACTGTAGCATGACATCTATGGCTTCCCTCTTGGGGTGACAACATATGGTTCTTTAGGAAGGAGCCCCATCATCAAGCTTAAGTTTTGCCTACTCCCTTCTCTTGATCATTTCCTGTTATTGATGAGAGTGGCAGGGCAGGCCCTAAGGCCATACCTGGCTTAGCAGAACTACCAAAGAGGGTGCTTTCTCTGGGTATTTATTTCCTGGGCAGGTGGGCTCCAAGACCAGCCAGGTAAATTAGTCCTGGTCTAAGACCCCTTAGTCAAATTTTTCAGGGTCTTACAGGAGCAGCTGTTCTTTCCCCACATCTGGGAACCACTAAAAGAAGAGAGCCCATGCTGCTCCTGGCTCCCCCAGGGACAGCTCAATCATACAACCAACCCGAAAAGAGGAGGAGGAATAAAAGTAGAAACGATGTTGATCCCTGAACCCTACCTAATACCGCATGAAAAATACCTTAAGAGCTTCAGTTCCAGGCAATAATGACAAAGTTCCCTCAATAGGGGATGGATTTCCAGAGGAAAACTAAGTACTAAGTTCCCTACAAAAGAAAAGCTAGCTTAAAATTCATCACAGCTGGTGTTCAATGACTGAAAAAGAAATAGCTAATTTTCCTTTCCATTTAACTAACATGTTTTCTTTCGGCACCTGAGAAAAAATGTACTATATCTTCAAAAACATAACATAAAATAGCAGATCTGAGCTTGTAGGTAAAGCTGCTCGATTTAAGCCCTGGCCTTGAGGCCACCGTGGCTCGTTTTTCATTTCTTCTTTCCACCTTTTCTTTATTTTCTGTCTCCCTCATCATCTGCTTGTCTTTGTAGATTTTCTGAAGAGAGATCACAGTGTGGCCTCTGCCTGGCCTGACACAGTGGCCCATGCGGCATTGGCTCTCTGAACTGAGCCTTAGGGAAGCAGCCATCCCATTATGATGACTTCCTCCTGCCACTGATCAGGTGGTGATCTGCACACTAGGTTTCTTTTCCATGGGTCAGTGACTCTCTCTTTCCACTGCCTTTCTGATTTCTATTTCTTCTCTGCATCAAACCAAGGTCACACACAGACCAGGGAACCAAGGGCAGGGCTTGTTCTTTCAGGTTGATTGTCCTGTCTGGAAGAGGTGTGAACAATGGAGCTTAGAGTGCAATGGCTGGTGACACCAGGCAGGATGGGAAAGATTGAATGGCATGATAAAGAAGAGAAGGAATGAGGAAATTTTTGAAGAAATCATCACGCCCTTTTTCAGCTCTAAGAAATTGTCTCCCAAAGCAATCTCTGCCCCTCTTGACCAGCTTCTCTGCTTGTTGTTTGAAAGGGACAAGGTACATACGTAGGCTCTATTAAGTAGATCTGCCCTCTTATGCACCCTCAAGCAGGAAATGCTTTATTAAATGAGGCTACCTTTTTCCTTTCTCTAATTCTGGGAAGAGCATCAGGGAGTGAATTTTCTTATTGCCCTACATGATCCATACATCCTGTGCATAGGATCCCAGTAGAAATACCCATAAAAATCTCTTTTTATGCTCTTTCTGAACACAGATAACTAATGTGCAAGCATGGTGTATTGGTCACGTGTACCTAATCAAACTGATTTCTTTGATCAACATACAGCCTATTTAACCTAAGCAGAAATCCAGAGTAGATATTTAATCTTTCTTTCCTAGGTTCATACCAGGAGCATAACATATCAGGAGAAAAAAACACAAAGAAAAGTTGAAATATCATATACCAGGAGAAAATATCCCATCGCCAGAGCCCCCTGGCCAGCCAATGATTTCTCTCATTTTCTTTAGCGTGACATATTCCAAAAGCACAAATACTGGAGCAATTTCATAGGTGAACCTGAAATGCAGTAATGGCCAGATTTTATGTATGTAACTCAAAGATATAATTCACCATTACAGTATCTACAGAACTATTTCCTTTTTCATACCCTACAGTCACAACTGTTATGATTATAGCATTCAGCAGAAAGAAAATTATGTCTTCTGAAAAAAATGATTTGCTCATTTTCTATATTGGTAAAAAAGTCAAGAGCTTCAATTATTGGCTTAGTGCACAAGGATCATTTATTATATTAAGTAAATAAAGAACATTGCTGAGTAACACTATTTAAAAGACAACATCTGGTCTCATTTCTCTTTTACACTATACATAATTATAAATCCAAAATGCAAAAAAGTCTCCTTTATTTTTAAAAAATGTTGTACAGCTTTGCATGAAAGTTATATCAGGACTATTTTCTATTAAGCTAGAGTGAACACCCATGGACTTCTGAAGTCCATATCACTATTTTATGGGCTACTTAACAAGAGATTCTCTCATGAGAGGTAGAATAAAGACTGTGGATCTCAGTAATAATTTTTCTGGATTACTCAAAAACATATTTAGCTACTTACATGTTAGTGTTTGCTGTTGATGTCAGCCAATCTGCCGCTAATCCCACCATATCCAGCCCAGTGGAGAGTTGATTGAAATATCTGGGATGCCCTAAATAAAATGGAATACCAGAATCAGGATTGCATCCTATGAAAATAAATGCCTCTCAAACACACAATTTCTCTAGCTAAAGGACCTTGAAAGATCCTTCAGTAATAGGAAATCCATATTCTAAAACCTAACACACACACACACACACACACACACACACACACACACACACACACACACACCAAAGGAACATTTCCTTTAACAAAAGAGACTATTTTGGATTTTTGTATTTCTTAAAACATCCTCTAAAAGTCTCCCTTTGAATATTTCCTATAAAAATAACAAATGTGATTTGCAATGTAGACACTGGTTAATTTCTTAGCATTCTTTCAATATGCTTGCAAACTAAAATGCTAGTGCAATCTGAAGCTATTCAAAGTCAGGCTATCCTTGTTTATACTTGTGCTGCTAAAAAATCCTTTCTTTGTTGAAGCTGTGGTGGAAATCAGTCATTCCATGATATCCGCCAGGCATGCCAACATTCATAATAATATCAGTGACAAATGGCTGATGATCACAAAAGACAAGGCAAAAATGAGAAAATAGGACACTGTCGAATGATTTGCCCTGGTTTCAAAAGGTGATGATTGTCTAAAGATGGCATGGACAAAGCTAATTCTTCTCAATTCTCTTTTGTACAAATATTTAATTATAAAAAACAGAACTCCTTCATAGTTGCGATTGAAAACAAAGCTGAATACAGAAAACATCACTGTCTTGTCAACAAGATACACAAAGATATAGTCAGTGGCCGGATCAGTCCATTAGCAAGGCTTAGCTAATTAATTTCTGGATTTCTCTAAGACTCTCTAAAGGGGTTGACATCCAAATACTCCTGAGGCTATTGTTCAAAACATGATGGTAAGTATCTTATTAGAATTTGTTTCCTTGCCTTGCCCCATAAAAACCTATCTATAAATATGGGATTTGCTTAGCAGCAAAAATTTTGGAAGATGAACAATTATGTAAATAGCATCTGATAAAAAGGCATCTGCCACTTAACTGGACACCTGTCTGAGGCTTGGGGATGTGACAGTCTCTCATGCCAGCATGGGCAAAACAAGATAAAGGGAGGCAATGGGGAAAGCAGGGACAAAAGTCAACACATAGCTTATCTCTCAGACTGGAGTGCTCTCTTATCAGCTTCTGGCATGTGGCTAGACAATTAGACGCTGAGAAAAGATAAGAGCTGGGAAAGAAATGAGCGCATTTGAAAGAGATTGGGTTTTGTGCAGCTCTCTCCCTGTTCTCCGCCATTGTCTTCCCTCTCTATGGCCTTGCACGGTGCCTTTCTGCCTTTTTCCCTCTTTTCCAGGCCCTCTGATGCTGACCCTGGCAGTTTGTGCATCCCCGGAAAGTGAAAAAGCCGTTTTCGCTGCCCCCGCCGCTGCCGGCTGGAACAACCCTCCACTCCTCTCTGCCTCATTGACTCCCCATTTCATTAGAGCTCACAGCTGAAATGATAGCCGTCTTCTTCCTCCTGGTGCCCCTGCATTTCTCTTTCCCTAAGCCATTTCTTTAAAGGAGGAGATTAATAAGGATTAGCAAACCTATCCGTTAATCTACTCTCCCAATTCGTACGCGTTTCAGCATGAATTTGGTGTCTGTTATCATGTACTATTTAACTCTAGGGAAACTGTGGCATGAAAACCTCTGCGCAAAATTGAGAGGGATCTCCAGGTGTGTGTTGTGGCTCAGGATATCGGAAAGCCAGTCCCGCCCCCACCATGACTGCCTTTAGGAAACCGTAGAAATAAATTGGGTGCTTTAATGGCCTGGCTCCCTTCTTCTATGTTTTTTTGACCTTGGTCTCTCATGTCACATGGATGTCTCCCGCCTCCTGAAAAATTTGAAAATACAGAGGGAGATAGTTTGACAGGTCAGAACAGCATGACCTCTTGATTTCTGCAGAAATGTTACATTTGCTCCCTGCGCATGACTCCCACAAGCTGCAGGTGAATCAGGGCAGGACTCTGAGAGAAAGGGTGTGAGAAGCCTGCTTGGAGCCTGCCAGCTGTCCCAGCAGCCCTGGCATCCAGCTGCCGCTGCTGCCGCCCCCACCGGGCCCTGTGCAGCGAGGCTCCGCGCCAGGAATCCGGAGGCCCGGCATAGCCTGCGCAGCCAGGGAGACGGCGAGTTTGAGGCGTGAGATGAGAGCCGCTCCTGCCTCTGGAACGCTCTCCGCAGATTATTAAACAGACTGGAAGGATGCACAGACTGCAAACAGCCATTCCCGGGCACCTCTGAACCGGGTGTCCGCAATCAGTTGGGAAGGGGCCCAAAGTCACCCAAACTGCTCTTTATATACCGGCAACACAAACCCCAGGGTGCCTCATTTATTGACGCTACAATTCCTTTGTCTGATGGTTGGGTTAAAAGAGTCAAGACAACACCATCCTCCACCACTCAACCAGCAGCAGCAGCAGCAGCAGCACGACGACCACCACCACCAAATCTAATGACCACCCCCACACTCCCACCCCCGCAAACGCTAATGATTCCAGAATCCTATCATTCTCTGCAGTTTTCTGTTCCAAGGTTTCTTACAGAGGTAATTTTTAACAACACATGAAGACTTCATTTTAAATATCTCCCCACTGCCCCCTCACTTCTCTGTAAGCTTGGAGCCCAACTGGAAATTAGGTTAAGGACTCCCTGTAGAAAGCAGGTGATAAGATGCATTTTTATTTAAAAAAATCTCCTGAGAAGCATTAAATGCCTAATGGTCGCAAAGATGGTAACTACTTTACAGACCCCAAGTAGTACTAGTTGTCAAATACAAGTTACAGCATAAAAACCTATAAACTTGCCAGTCGAAACGAGGTGACTGCTGTTAGTTTTCTGAAATGCTATTTAAGGGTGGGGAGAACCCTGGAAGCCTGCGTATGTTATGAATAACATTGATACTGAATTAATATTGACATGCCTTGCTTAGAAACCCAATTTAATCAATCATATTTTCCCCTGAACTTTAAATAAAATGCATTAGAGCTACACTTGACCAACACTTTTACAAACATTATGCCAAAACTCTAAGTATTGAATTGGCCCATTTTTTCCCTGACATTGGAACATTGATAAAAATTACTTTCATTGACTTGCAATTCCCAATATCTTAACTCTTTAAATTGTATTCCAGACACCACCAGCTTTTAAAGATGAAGATATAAAACATTTGTATAGATCCTTTTTGGTTTGGTAGCAATAAAATTAATAGGTGGCAATTTACTATTAACATTTAAATATTAGGTCGGGCAAAGGGTCAAACAAAAAAATTAAAAGCATTATTCGGATTTGTACCTACAGACACAGGAAAGCTGAGAGGAAAAACATCCCTAATGCCTAGTATATACATCATGTGGATTCTCCATGAACTAATTGAAATGATTTCTAATAAGCTTTTAAAAATCATACTGCACAGACTAAATTTGATAGAAATAAAGTTAAATTCATTTCCCTATGGATGTAGCTCTAACTCTACAGTCTCACAAAAGTGGCTACTAATAATTTAGTAAATCAATTTCCCCAAGTTTCTTCTATGCATACCTTTTCTCTCTGCTGTTATAAGGAATGTGCAAATATAAAAACACAAAAACAAGACAGAAAAAAAGCTAAATCACACATCAAACATTCTTAAAATGTTTGTTGTTGACTCGAATGATAGTGATCAAATTTAAATCCAAATCAATTAGCCACAAATCAATTTAGATCCACAAGGTCTCTCCCTTTCCCCTGAAAAGTCAGTCATGCTTATTTTTATTGCCTTAATGATGTGTAGTGCCACCATGTATCAGGATGATCAGAGACAACGTAGAAAAGGAAGGGGTAATCATGACCTGGGAGATGAATAGCTGACTTTGTGTAGATAAAATGGCAGCTTAGAATGCACCTAAATAAATGGTACACCTGGGACTATAAAATGGATAGACTATAAAGGATATTGTGAAAAAGCAATAAATACAAAATACTTTTAAATATTTGCCCCTGAGGATACCTGATTCCCCTCACCACCACCCCCCTTTTTTTTATCTTATATACAGAGTGGCTATGAAGCACGCATCCTTGTATAACATGGCTGAATTGTTAAGGCTGTTTGTATTGTGTTTTCTTTTGTGTACATTTCTTTAAAAATAGAGACAACCTGAAGTTCAAATCTAAAGCCTTGGTCATTTGAGACAATGCCAAAATATTATCCCTCTGGTTCAATAATTACATAGGATGGTTTGTTGTCCAATTTCTGACAATTTCCATGCCAAGGAAATAACCAGTACTATAATAGTGTTTGGGATTTTGTTTGGATAATTTTTTTGAGCCTTCATTTCTGTATTCTCTTTCTCCATTTCGGGTCGCTTCTACTGGCCTCTGCTCACACATGGTTGCTTCTACATCAGTGGTTACTCTCCATGACCAAATACGTGAAATGTAAAATCTGACAATTTATAATTAGATAATGTTTCTGATAGTATCAACTTCAGAAGCATTAATACAAATAACAAAGGAGTGCTTTTGATTTGAATCATTCTAATAATGACTATTTTTAAATGATGGTAATAACTTTGTAAATTTGCAAATATCGGTAACTCCATAAAATAGAAAATATTTTATAGAAAAAAATAAAGACTGTGAAAGGAAAAAGAGCTTTATTATTTCTGATGGGACAATACCTGTTTTAATTGCATATTTTAGAGTTGTCTGGCAATGCATCAAAATTTCCTCCAAATTTTGTGGTTGGTCTGCCAATTCCCAATTATACTCTTGAAGAAGCTCATTAGGGTAATGGAAATCAATCACTTTGGTTGATCTATCGAAACTTTTCACCACATACTGAAGTAAAATATCCATGACATCTTGCAGAAACGCCAAGGTAGGCCTTTCTCCATCACACGCTGGCAGCAGGTCTAAGGAATGGAATCAAAATGCCATGTTTTAATTTTACTATGAAAATATCCAGGCAAGGTCTTGATCTGGCAATTTCTCTTTGAACTGAGACTGTATGTTTAAAAAAATCTTCTGGAAACACAGAACATTTTCTTTAAAAGGGAGGCATTTTTCAAAGACGAAGGAACGAAAGTACGATTCCTCCCTCCCACCCTAAATGAATATCTTGTATTTCAATTCATTACTTATTGTTTGGTTTTGTTTAGAAAAAGAGTGTGCCTCCATTAAATTATTTCACAGGGGTTCGTCCTAAGTGTTATTTTTCAGTGAACCATCTTAAATGATTATGGAAATACTCCACGTCAGAAATGTCTGAGGAACGCCTTTGGCAAGCAAGGCAAAGTGGAACATACAATGTTAGGATCTTTGGCTTATTATGAAAGCCCGCTGTTTCCAAAGGGTGTGCGTGTGTGCGTGTGCGTGTGTGTGTGTGTGTGTGTGTGTGTGTGTGTGTTGTCGTGCGTATTTGGATGGCTGGGTGTGTAAGCGCAAGGGAGCAAAAGCGCAGGTCTCACGTGAATAGAATCGTTCGTCTGTGGAATCGCAGCTACAAATTACTCTTGCGATCTAAAGACCTAGAAAGTCATAGCAATTCTGACCTGAAGGCTGAGTTCCACCCGAGGTCTCAGCGGCACCAAAAAAGCCGACCTCGAGCTTCGCGCGCGCGGGCACCGCGGCGGCCACCAGTAGCCCCGACGGCGGTGCTGGCGAAAAAGCGCCGTGGCTGCAAGAGCCCCCTTGGAACGCGGGCACCCAGCGCCACCGTGGCGCAGGGGCCGAGATCGGTGCTCGGAGCCAGGGGCAGGACCAGCATGCTTCACTTTCAGCTGCAGGTTCTCGTAAGGTCCACCTCAGCCCTACACCTTCACGCCTGGGGTCCGGCTCCCGGCGCGGGTCCCTCTTGGCCGCGGTGGGCGGGGCAGTGGCTCTTGGGGACCCCGCGAGGCGCCTTTACCTGTTGCGTGTAGAAATGCATAGTTGACATCGGCTTTGGGACAGCTGCATGGCTTCTGGTTGCAGGCACAGGCGGCCTTCCGGGAGGTGGCCCGCGGGGACTCGCTCCCGCCGCTCTCAGCGGGCTTCTCGGCGTCTCCGTAGAGCAGAGCTGGGCAAGGACAAGGAGCGCGGACCTCGATCAGCTGCCCGCGCCGCCCGGCTCCCACGGCCCCGCCCATCCCGGGATAAGTAAGCCCAACTCCGCTGCTGGGGATGCGGAGCTGAGAAGGTAGCTTTGCCCCGCGGAACCCGAGGCGCCAGGCCCTGTCCGCCTCCCTGCCCTGGGCGCCCGCACTCACCGCACAGCTTGTTTCCGATGCCGCCGGTGAACTTCTGGGCCACCTGACACCAGGCTCTAGCTGTAAGGAAAGACAGGCAGGAGGACAGCGAGGAAGACAGAGAACAGCAAAAGGACGTCTGAAATTTCGCTCTATGTGAACAATGTTAATAAACCCAGGGTCCGGGAAGGGGCCGCCTGGGGCTCGGCACCGCGGGCAGGTGCGAGAGGTGCGCGGGAGCCTGGCAGCCCGGCCCGGCCCTCGTTTCACGGATTCTTTCCCCAAGGAGAAGCACACACCGCTCGCGACCCCTTGCACTTGCCTTCCAGGTGCCAGCAGGGTCAGGCAAACTCCCCTTCCTGCCTCTCTCGAGCGAGTTTTTCTAGACACCGAGCCTGTCCCTTTCTTCGCAGGCTCTCCTTCAGAATTCTCTCTCCTTTCCAATTTTTCCTTTCCCCACCGCGACTCTGTCCCTCTCCAGGTTCCAGACACCAAGATGGTGGCAGTGTTCCAGGCCCGCGGAATTCAGGGTCGAGGAGACCCTCTGATGGGACGGCTCTCCCAGACTTCGGCGAAAGGGCTCGGGATTCTTTGGGTGTATTCCCAGGGGATAATGGTCTCTTGGACCATCAGGGACCTACCCGGTGAGCAGGGCGAAGCCGCCGAAGTTTCCTGTTGCTGGTGGAAAACGTTCTTCGTCTTCCCGGGCCCCTCAAACCCCAGTATACCCGCAAAGCTCTCTTGCTGCAGGTTCCGATTCTCCTACCTGTGCCGGGGTTCTCGGGATCCCCGGAACCATCTTCAGACCCGAAGGACCAAAAGCCGGAGCCGGGAGAGGCCATCAGCGCAGCAAGACTGGAGCAGGTCACCTCCGAGCGCGAAGTGTCAGCGAGCTGCCTTCGTTCGGCTCGGTCGTGCGCGCGCGCGCGTGTGTGTGGCGGGAGGAGAGCACCGCGCAGGGACCTGCGCGGCCGCGAAGCAGAGGGTGGGTGTCACACAGGGACAGGAAACGAGCGTGTCTGCGTGTGTGCACGCGCGCGCGTTTGTGTTGGAGTTAGGGCTTTGAGATGTGGCAACGCTCTGAAAGCTGTGGAGGTTAAACAGGAAAGGGGACCGAAGGGTCCAAGCAGCCAGGACTTGGGAAAGCACGGAGCGCCCGAGTGATTTTGAAGGCGAGGGAGGCCAATAGGGATGGATGAGGGGGCGGCGGAGGGAAAAATGGGAGAGGGAGGGAGCTGAATCGTGAGGGTGCGAGACAGGCAGTGAGCTCCAGCCGGAGTCAGAGTGAGTGGGTGGGAGGCGTGCAGGCGAGCCCCAGCAAAGCGCGAGGCGGGAGCGTGCGGCCGCCCGCGAGGGCTCGGGTGCGCTGTCCAGGGTGCTAACGCTGCCGACTGCGCGCTGGCCTCAGCGAGGGTTGGACCAGAGACTTAGGCGTGGCGGGAAGGGGGGCCGAAAGGAGTCTTATACACGCACCGATTGGCGTATTGTTTGCGGTCTGGCTCCCGCTGCAGGGAAAGAAGCACGGTCCCCGCACCGCCCTCCTTTAAGGAGAATGCGGAGGTCGCTGTGACCTCGGGAGCTCGAGCGCCAGTGCTGGAATCAGGAGCAGCTCTCGAGCTTGGGGAGGGGACGGCGGGGGAAGGGATGGCAGGGGAAGAGCGCCCACGCGCTGATGGGCTCATTTCAGGTCCTTAGTAGCGCCTAATGCCTGCCTACTGAGTTGCGCGATCCCGGGGGCCGCACCAGTCCTGCACTTCGGAGGGCGCGGTCGCTGGTCCCACGTCCAGGTGGGAAGACTGACGGCTGGGGCGAAAAGACTGCTGATTGAAACAATTAAAAAACGAACGGAAACTTCTTGGAAGGGGGCGGGGAAGAGCAGCTAGAATGTGCAGGATTGACGGCTATGGGAACGGGTCATTTGGTGACCTTGGCCCGTGGAGGCATGGAAGGGCCGCTTAAGTGTGTTGGGAATCGGTATGTGCGTGGGAAGAGTGCACAGTTTCCAACTAAGCAATCTTAGCTTTCCAAATCGCAGGCGGAATGAAAGCATCGCCTGATGGGTCCTCGTTCTAGCTGGCCACAAATCAATGACCACCCCCCACTTCCTGCCCCCCCCCCCCAGAGAATCTTCAGGATAGCGTTGGGGGTGGAGGGAGATGAGTTACCTCTGTGGCTGGGTGAGAAAGGGGTTTCTTATTTCCTGAGAAAGTTAGAGTCTTTCCTCTCTTACAATTTCCTTTCTCTAAAAGAAGTTAAACAAAGGGAGGGAGCCATGAGAATTCAGGGCCCTCTGAGTTCGCGCTGCTTTCACCTGGAAGTCAAGAGCAGCGTTCCGCACACCTGGCGGCTCCTGGGCAGGTGGAGAGGGCGAGGAGGACCGGGGGAGACAGGACCTGTCTCCCTCGGCGAACATTCCTGGTGTACTGCATCCCTTGGGCGAGCGCTTTTCATTTCTATTGTGTGCCGGGCACTCTTTCTCTGACCTCTTGAACAAGTCACCCAACGCTGCTGTGAAAGCAGAGACCCACAGATCTTCTGTCTTGGCTACCACCCCTCGACCCTGGCTTAGAAAGGGCGTTGTGGGGCCCAGGGTGGCCGCGTGCAAGCCCAAGTCCTGTGTCCCCAGGCACGTGGGGGCCTGGTCCTCTCCACAAAGCTTTGTCTTCTTCCCACGTGTCCGAGCCGGGAGAAGCCATTGGATCTGCCCGGTGGTTGCCCGGTCAAGGCTGGGGTGGGGGTGAGGGGGGCACAGGGAAGGACGCTGGGCCAGCTGTGTCGAAAAGCCAGCACGAGGCTGCGGGTGCGCGGTGGGCACCAAGCCAGGTCTCAGTACAACTCCGGTTTCCAGCAGTCCTGGCTCCAAAGCTCCTGGTGTGTAAAGACTCGGTGGTTCCGCTGTCTGCGCCGCGGGCAGGGCAGCTCCTCAACTCTTGCTCCAGCCTTGGAGATAAGCATCGGAGAGACGGTTCTTTGTTTAAATCCACGCCAAATCTTAACACGTTTCGCTTCAAGCCAGCAGAAGCTTCACGTGGCAGAACTTTTCTACTATTGGATGAATGGTCAAAAACATAAAGGTTCTTTAAGGCAAGCGTTTAAAACACACACAAGCCCCGAAGAAAGAAACGGGTTAAATAAAACACGAGGAAGGTAAAAACCACAACTCCTGGAATTAAAGGATTTAAAAAAAAAACTCGACTTAAAATGCTACTGTTTAAACTCCATTGAACCCCGCAGCTCCGGAGCACTTTGACTGTAAAGGTGGCTTTTACGTTTTTTATTTAACACCCGATACTTCAGATGCATAAGGGATCTGATTTGTCCTTCCTGATCGCCGTCCTCCTTAGATGGCAATTTGCTTTTATAAAGACTTTTATTTCGCAAAAGAGCCCACCCCCTTCAACCCCTCCTTTGTCGCGCTTGGGGTTGGAGATAACAAAAGAGCTCAGGGAGGTAATAATTACAGTCATTAGTTCACAAAGGAGGCAGCCACCGAATGGGAAGGCGAGGCGGGCCAGCGCTGGGGAAACGCTTTTCAAGGCCCTTCCTCTAAAAGAGGCGAGAGACCCACGTCCCGGGCCACCCGCTGGGCCAGCTTCTTTGGTTGACCTATTTCCTGTCCGTCTGTGGTTTACACAGAGAACTCGTTGCAGGCCTGCCAAAGAACAGTTGATATAAGTTTTCCCTTGTGTCCTCGCAAGTGCTTAAATGTCGAAGGACAGAGAAAAAAGGGAGATGGAAAGAAAGAGAAAGAAAAAGAAGAGAAAAATACAAAAGACAAAAGGAAAACAAAAACATTGCACCCTTTCACCAAACGTTTGCCATTCTCTTTTCCGGTCCCACATTAAAAAGGGGAGGAGGGAGGTTAGGGAGGGGGCCAGTTGCCCCTCTTTCCAGCAACGGAAGGGCCGGGCTGCCCGGGGTCTGGTCTGTGGGGGCCACTCCAGAAGCCGGGATTGACGAAGGAGCCTGGTAGAAAGCACGGCTTTAACCAACCCCCCACCCCCACCCCAGGGCCTCCGGGTGGTGGCTGTACTGGTGGGTAGGATTGGAGGGGGCCCGGCCATATCCAGCTACAGATATCCCTCCCTCCCCAACCCACCAGTGAAGCGTGCCCTGCAGCGCTGGTTTTGTGGGAGCCTGGGCCAGGCCCAGACCTGCCGTCAGCTACAGCTGCGCCATTGGTCCACTCAGCCAGGGTGGCTTCTCCATCCGGGTTCCAACCCTGGGCGGAGGCGGCGGCGCGAACCCAGGGTAAGAGCAGGTCCTAGAACGCACTTGGCCTTGGAGCTCAGCCCTGCCACGCGGGCGGGTATCATTTGTAAAATGAAGAGTTTGTTCGAGTCATCTCCGGGGACCTTTCGGTGTCAACTCTTTGGGTTGTAGAGAACCTTACAGTCAGGTGTGCCAGGGGCACAACAAAGGTTATCAGCCGGCCTTAGGCTCCGGCACCTTCTCCTGAATATTTCCCCAAAGTCTCCTGGGTCTGGGTCGTGGGTGTAGGAGCTGGGGACACTGCCAGAGGGGATAAGCCACATCTCAGCCAGAACCCTTCTTCTAATTCAATCGTCAGTGAAACATCACGCCACCCTTCCTTACCGAGTAGAGATGTTAAACAAAGTGTCAATTTCATAGCAGAGCTGAACCGGGCTTTTTTTTTTTTTTAAATAAAAATTTTTTACTGGGAAACAGTGTGTTTCTCCAGGACTCATCAGCTCCAAGTCAAGTAGTTGTTTCAATCTAGTTGTGGAGGGCGTTTTACCAGGAACCATCAGTTTCAAGTCAAGTAGTTGTTTCAACCTAGTTGTGGAGGCAGCAGCTCCGCAGCCCATGCGGGAATTGAACTTGGTGTGATGAGCCTGTGTTCTAACCACCTGAGCTAACCAGCCGCCCCAGAACCTGGCTTTTTAAAATTAGAGGCATCAACCCAGGAATGCAAACTTCTGCCCACCCACTGCTCTCCCCTTCCACCTTAAAACCACCAAAATTCAGAGCAGCAGAGACTGTCTCAAATCTGCAGACTAAAAAAATCTTACAGTTCACTCAGTAGCGGACCAAATTTTATCGGCGGGCCCAACGGAAGCCACACTGGGAAAACTCTGTGTGTGTGTGTGTGTGTATGGTGTTGAGAGATTTGGAGATTTGTCTGGAGGCCACGTTTGTGTCGCAAGTAAGGGATTTCATCATCGTATGTTCGTTTGGGGTGGCTGTGTGTGTGGGTGTTGTTCACTAATGGAGACAAAAGGCATCTCTCCCCTCCGTAGTCTTCCTCACTGCACAGCAGGGCCGCAGGAGCTGGGACCCAAAGGCGAACATAGCGGACCAGCCCTGAAAGCCACGGACTTTCCAAGGCACTTCTTTTATTTAGTAACATTAATGACCAAGGGAAGGGAAAGAGCGACTCTGACGTGAAGTTCATCTTCACAGCCCCCCGTCTGCAGCCTCGCGCTTCTCCCACCCTGGCTGTATTCCGTTCTCACAGGCTCAGCCCTATCCCCAACTGTCCCGCGAGCCTGAGAGAGGCTTTTCCATGAAAGAAGCTTCGAAGTCTCCCAAAATGAGAGATGAGGGGTCAGCGAGAGCTCAGGTGCAGTCGGGTCCCCAGGAGTCGCAAACATATAAACAACGCGATACATGGGGTGGGGGCAAGTACAGGGATGGCCCAACTGGCGGGCTGGTGGGAGTGGAGGGTGCAGCGCAGCGAGGCGGCATCCGAAAGGCTTCCAGGTCTCCGCCTCCCGAACTCGAAAAGCTGGCCCGGGCACACGAAGGGGGAGCGCTGTGAGCGGCCCCTGCCAAGGTCAGGGGCCGCTTCAGCGCCTGGTGCTGCCAGGGCCTGAGGGTCTCCGCTTTGCTCTTGCACCCCGCAGTCTCGGGCACATCCCCGTGGCCGCGGCCGCCAGGCAGCGGGGCTACACCTGCTGGACTAGGCGCCGGCGCTGAGAGGTTTTGCGCAGGAGCCTTCTGTAGTCGTAGGGGTTGGCTGTCGGCCCGTGCTCCTCCTCCTCCGGGTTCTCCGCCGCCCAGCACCTGCAAGCGAGACCCAGGGTCGGGGCGTCAGCAGCGCCACGGTGCGCAGCGCGTCCCCGCCCACCCAGAGTTAGTCGTCTTCCCCACACCTCCCACCGTCTGCGAGCATTTGAGAACGGCACATTCGAAACACCAGGATAGTGGCCAAACGGATCTGCGACCGTTTTTCTCAGCAGGTTTTGACAACTCCTCTGAGCAGAGTAGCAGCAGGGCTGGTGGAATCAGGTGTCTCTGTGGTTCGATGACAGCTAAGTAAAGCGTCAGGTTTAGCTCAGAAAGGTGAGCTTCGTTTGGTTTGAAATAACTCACAAACAAGAAATGCTTATTTTACTTGTCTA